ATTTCCAAAACTCCGCCGACTTTTGAAATTCCTGAGAACCTGATGCCGGGTTCTTCCCCGAAGGCCCACGGAATTTCGCAGAAGACTAACAAGTTGTCAACGCCAAAGAAGAACCAACACCAGAACGTTCAAGAAGATCAGTTTCAAATTGAACTGTGATCCGCATATCACTGCTGCTATTTTAATGAGTTTGTAGGTATTATGGCTGACCATATTTTAAACAAGCTGTGACAAAGTAATTGATGATTTTCACGTTTCTGTGGAAAAGTACTCGATCATGAGTATGGAGACTTGTTGATTAATTGTAATATTATTTTATATTTTGCGATTAGTTTTGTTTTTTGTATTTACTGTGTTCCTAATTTTATAGGAACATTATTATGTAAATAAACAAAGCTTTCCAATCCATTGTTATTATTTTCATCTCATTACCATGAAAATGAAGATGAAATCAAAAAATCTTGCTTATAAATTAAGACCATCTCAAATAATAATACCAGGAAGCACTGATAATTATCTAGATAATATAAGGTAGGTAGTAGAATTTTGGAGGAACTCTACTGCTTAGGACATCCATTTAAAGGGTGATCCAAAATTCGATGTGAATATTTTCAAGGACGTATTGTTGGGATCAAAATAAGACTATCTGAAATTTTCATCATAATAATGGATCAAATCGTCTGAAAATAGGCACGCGCTCTCCTTCTTTTTGCTTCAAAAATTATGTTAACCCTGTTTGGGGTGCATTTTAGGAAACATGTTTTTATAAAAAAAGAGTCTTATTTTGATCGCAACAGTATGTCCTTGAAATATTAACATCGAATTTTGAATCACCCTGTATTATGCTCTCGCCCCAACTAAACCCAAAACGAGAAAATCATAATAGGAAATTGAAAATGAACATTTAGTCCACAGAAATTGGAATATTGGTATTGAATTATGTTATTCGTGTTTTTTCAGGTACCTTTATATACCGGGTGTCCCAGAATACCTGTTCCAATGAATAATCTCAGCCATTTCGAAAAATTAAAATTCGAAAATTCCATGATCTCCAATTTGTTCAAGGAAGCTTCAACTGAGAAAAACAAAAATAATTGAAAGTCACTTCCGGTTTGACTCTTAACTTTTTTATTTCAAATAGCACCCTGTATATTTTTTGCAAATTACCGTTCCAACGATGAATCACAATTCGTATTTTAAATTTGATTCGATGGAGAAAACGACAACTGAAATTTCAAATTGAATGAATTGCAGTAGGCTACGATATTTTGTAATCTTGATTTTGACTTCAATAATAATCTCAAATTATTAGAATTGTAGTAGATCATGTTACTTTCAAATTTTCATCTTTTGAAATGGCTGAGATAATCTATTGGAACAGGTATACTGGGACACCCGGTATATAAGGTGACATTGAAATAAATACAAATATTTCAAATCCTGAAAAAGCTCGACGTGTACTGTCGAATGGCCCCAATAAATAAAGTTTCAGGGATCAAAATAAATAGTTATTTATTATACAAGGGAAAAAAGTAGTAGATTTTAGCTCCAGGTTGTGTTGTCTCCCGACGCGTAGCGGAGGGAGACAAAAAACCGTGAGCTAAAATCTAATATTTTTCCCGTGTATAATACACTATTTTTTTCTGTGACAGAAGGAAGGACGAATCGATATTGGGAAGATATTACATTATTTCGAACTCTGAAAATTATCGACGTGAAATTTCAAGTTTTTAACAGTAGGGACACCTGCGTTTTATAGACATCTTTATCATTCCTTTGAAGTAATCAAATATCTGATGTCACTTCTGTCAGTTCAATTCTGTGATTTGATTTTAAAAAATTGCGAATTCAGTAGTTGTTTAGTAATATACGAAACCGCGAAGTCGAATGGAAGATAAAAGGACTTGCAGTTCTTTCTCGGAGACGGTATTATTGACTTATTTTTCGGAACTATAGCACAACAAAAGCCATTAACAGAGTATATATTTGTGATATATATCCGGGAAAGAAGTACTCACTTTTTTCCCACGGGAAAAAAGTAACTCACTTTTTTCCCACGGGAAAAAAGTAATTTATGAAAAGTGACATTTTATAACCTGCCAACAGAGATGAAATGCCAAACTTTTTTCCCGTCACAGAAAAAATGTTTTTTCCACCCAAAGTTCTATACACTGTAGCAATTCTGACGTCACCTCTGTTCAAATCTCTTTGCGTCAGGCCCAATCACACGTTCAATCATGTAAATTGTTTCAAAGTGGCGTACTTGATTTTTTTTCCCCCGTTTTTTGTCAAATTTTCTGATTGAAATTTCTCGATAACTGAAAGATTTAGAAAAAATCTGATAGTTTGGAAATATTCCTAAGACTATTATATCGATTTACTGAATATGTGTGCTTATATTTCTAAAACCTCCTATTTTGGATGTTTGATTTTATAACCCAGATACACAAAAAATAAGTTTCCATAACATTTTCTTTTCAGAACAATTAATACTTTCTGTAAATCCCTGTGAAAAATTATATTTAAAATAAAAACAATTAATTTTTTTTATACTGAAACGCAAAATGTACTAAAAATCATTCATGAATATGATTTTGAAAATGCCTATGCTTTTGGTTTGGTATTCATTATACAGTGTGTCTCACTTCTGATGGATACACCCTTGTATATATTATCCAATTATGAACGTATCATTCTGAAATTCTCAATGATGCGATTATCTTCAGTGATATACACTGCTCGCCAGTAGCTTAGTTAATCTATCTTGCCTCCTAATATCATTATCATAATAATCGATAATCCCTTGATCATTAAGTGGCTTTACTTACGGTTACTCTGCTCTTGCTCCTGCGAATCAGAAATGTGCCTTCATAATTAGAGATTATAGTTATAGACAATGTTTTTTTATCAAACATGAGATAAGAATTGTTCTGAAACGAAAATATCATGGAACTTTTTTATGTGTTATTCTCGAATCTTCTTATTTGAATTGATATAATTTGGTTGTAAAATCTATAGGAATCGAGAAAATCGCGGAAAACCATTTCGGAGCAAGATTTTTGACGTTCAAATTCCTGGGATAAAGTGCAATAACTACTATTATACAGGGTGCCCGGAAAGGTCATGTCGTGAATGATGTCTATCGCTCTTCGTAACTGAGTAATTGACCTTGAAAGTACGAATAAAATATTACTTGATATATTCTCTATTATTGAAAAAAGTTGCCCCTCAAATTATTTTATTTATAATACTTTTGAAATGACACCATTGAAAAAAATATAGGTAGCTATATTATAACGATCTAGATAGGATAGGCATACACTGTGTCCGTAAAGAATGGAACAAATTCGATATTTCCTAAACTAAAAGCCTTTACAAAAATATCTAAAACGCGTCAACTACAGTTTCGAGGGGGATATCGTTCTAAAATATTTTCAGCCCTGCGGCGTTGCCGCTTCTAACGAAAAGAAGCAACAACTTTGTTATTTCAAATGGAACACCTTGTATTTTATTGCATTTTTAGATTCTCCCCGGAGAGCTGATTTCATCAATGCATCACACACTTGGGGTCTAGCTGTAATGGTTTCAGGGATATAAAGTGTTCAAAATCGAGATTTTTCAACTTTAGCATTTTTTTGTGTCGAAACTATTCATTATTGGTCAAAACGGCTTTCATGTCCCTATCTCAACTTGTGATTTATTATCTACTGACATTTATTTGAAACAAATACAGGGTGGTTCAAGATTCAGAATTCTGATCACCCTGTATCTGTTCCAATTACGTAGATAGTAAATCACAAGTTGAGATAGGGACATGAAAGCCGTTTTGACCAATAATGAAACCATTACAGCTAGACCCCAACTGTGATGCATTGATGAAATCAGCTCTCCGGGGAGAATCTAAAAAGGCAATAAAATACAAGGTGTTCCATTTGAAATAACAAAGTTGTTGCTTCTTTTCGTTAGAAGCGGCAACGCCGCAGTGCTGAAAATATTTTAGAACGATGTCCCCCTCGAAAATGTAGTTGACATGTTTCAGATATTTTTGAAAAGGCTTTTAGTTTAGGAAATATCGAATTTGTTCCATACTTTACGGACACAGTGTATAAATAAAGGTGAATAGTGGAGAAGGAAACGACGTTGCCACAGTTTATAAAAATCATAAGATAGCAAATAAAGTTCAATTCTGACAAAAACTGGATGTTACTTGGACTTGAGATGAATCACGTTGAATAAGTTTTGAATTTATTATCTTTTGGCTAAATCTTTCATCTTCTTTTTTTTGACATTCAATTCTGTCATACTGTGTTCTCGATCTCGTACCTTCCAGATATTTCCATATGGATCTGGGTTCTTCGCATGGAATTGACCCATATTGAACATCTTTTCGATATTAATACAGGGTGTTCTTCAAAGACATGCTAATATTTGAGGTTGTGATTCTTTGACTCATTTTAAGAAAAAAATTCTATATGAACGTACGTGAACGTATGTCCTAAAAGTCTTAACTTTTGAGATACTGGGTGATGAAGTTTCGAAAAATATTCTGTTTTTCCATAATAACTGAGACAATATTGTACACATCTACATGGAATTTAGTACATGTCTTTTAAGTATCAAGGTGCATTTTCTGATGTAAAAAAATCATTTTCTCTACCAGTGGCACCGTTACGGGAATAATATTGTTTATATATTTTACCAAAAAGTGAGCAACGACGGGAAATTTTCAAATTTCGTACAATGCTATGAAAGGCTATTCAATTATTTACAAAAAAGATCCTTTTGTTCATGCTCGATAGAACGCTTCGTTTTAGAGAAAAAAAGGATTAACGAAACCAGACATCAAATTTTAATACCGATTCAGTCACATAGCAGACTGAATTTTGCCATCACGAGAAAATACAGGTTGGAAAAAAAGATCTATGCATATTTTCAATATTGACACCCTGTATCTGACTGACCCTTTCAAAAGTACCTACTTGTATCCACGACTTGTATCTTGTCTCATTTGACATTGCATGATGACTTCCGCGTCATGAATAAGTTGTAATGGTATTATTCGAAAAATAGAAACTAATTGAGTTCAAATGGCTAAAATTGGAATAAATGGTTTCGGAAGATTGGGTAGACAGTTGTTGAAAATAGCAATAGAAAAATGCAAAAAGGTAAGGACACAATTAAGTTTCATTGCAAACAATAAACTATATATGTACTTGCTGGCTTATAATTTTACAGAAATGTGCCACAGATGTTTCACGTGTTCTCATGGTGAATGATCCAAATGTAAAACCGGACTGTTTTGGATATTTATTGAAAAATGATTCTCTGTATGGAAAATCCCACATGGAGATAGTGGAGATGGGTTCATGTCTAATGATTGATAGTAAGTACTTGGCTTATGACATTTTCTAAAAAAAAACTGAGTTCACTATACAAACCGATATTTCTGTCTAGGTCAGAGAGTAGAAATCACAAGTGAAAGCAAGATAGAAAAAATTCCTTGGCAAAATTGTAAGGTTGACTATGTCATCGACACAACCGGACAAAATCAAAATTGCAATAAGGCATCCGTGAGTACAACAAAATATGAGTTTGTTTCATTGGTTTCTCTACGGAAGCGTATTAGGGCCACCATCAAAATTTTTTTATCTTGAAATTTCAACTTAGCTATGTTGAAATTTCAAGATAGTAAGTCGAAATTTCGGCTTAGCTTTGTCGAAATTTCAACTTACTATCTTGAAATTTCATCATAGCTAAGTTGAAATTTCAACATAGCTAAGTCGAGATATCAACATAATCATGTCGAAATTCCGACATAACTTCGATACCTATTTGAAACGTATAACTGATGAGATTAGTACGACGGTTGTACATGCTCTAAACAAACGATCGACACGAGTTATGTTTAGCAAATATGTATAATTAAATCAAATTATACTTTCTACTCGGATTCAGCCAGAGTGAAATTTTCCTTGTTCCTTCTGAGAGACATAAAATCCATACAAACAGGAGAACATTGAGAAGGGCCTCAGAAAAATGGAGTTGTACAGAAGAATAGTTATTTATACACCAAGGTAGTAAAGCATATCATTATTACTTAGGGACCTAGATTATATCCCGAGGCTCAGCCGAGGAGTATAAGATCCCGTGGTAATAATATTCTTCACTACCAAGGTGTATATCAAATTTTTTTCATCACTAGTAATACATTAAACCTATTACCAGTATGAAAGCACTTCTCTTCAATTCCAATTAAATAAATCTATAGTAGCCATAACTATGACAGCATATGACAATGATAAATACCTACTAGATTCGAGGGCCATTATTGAGAACCTCGCAGCAGAACAGTGAATTCGGGTTAATTATATAACAGAGGTGCCAGAGGTGGCTATGTCATTATTGACCAGTAGTTAATAAAATGACGAAATCTACTATTTTATTAGGAAAAACACAATTCACGCCTCGAAAAGGAGTAAATAATGGTAGGTTTTATGGTTTTATAGCTAGTGATGGTGGAAAAAATATACACAACTTGAACAACTCTTGGATTTTTTGACCGATGAAATCGGAAAGTATGGACAACTACATGGTAACAAGTGGATGCATTCGAAATGGATTATCGGTCACTCAAGAAACTGTTCGGTTAGCTCTTAATTTCCTAGACCCAAGTCTATCGAAATTTCGAATTAGAATGTTGAAATTTCAACTTAATATCTCGAAATTTCAACTTAGCTATGTTGAAATTTCAAGATAGTAAGTTGAAATTTCAACTTAGCTAAGTCGAAATTTCAACATAGGTAAGTTGAAATTTCAACATAGCTAAGTCGAAGTTTCAACATATTTATGTCGAAATTTCGACTTAGTATGTTGAAATTTCGACTTAGCTATGTTGAAATTTCAAGATAAAAAATTGTTCATGGTGGCCCCAATACGCTTCCGTAGTTTCTCTACACACCTACAAATTATATTCATATGCAATGAAACTGGTAGTGCTAATCATTACAGATAGATACATATATATGTATATAGGTAGCTTGCATTTCACGAACTGAACCGTTTCTTTTTTTCTTCCAGGCATTCTTAACAGAGGGTATCAAGAAAGTTATAGTCACGGGTTGTTCGAATGTACCGATCTTCATTGTTGGAATCAACCATGCTTGCTTTGATGTGAACATGAAAACAGTTTCTGCAGCATCCCCTTCTCTGAATGCTGTGATGCCTGTCTTGAGAGTTTTGCACGAAAATTTCCAAATACAGGTAAACAACCCAGACAGCACCAGATATTCCATGAATCTCCCTATCATATTCCTTTTGGAATATTGGAATATTCTAGAAATAATCTGGAATATTCCGGAATATCTGTGGAATATTCTCTAAATATGCAAATGGGAATTCCTCAGATAATCATAGAATATACCCAAAAGAATATTCTATGTTGAATGTTCTTGGAATATTCCAATGAACATATTCTAAAATAAAAAAAGTGACCCAAGTAGGGATCGAACTCGTGACCTCAAGACTATCAGAGCAACGCCTCGACCACTAGGCCAGTAATCGAATTGAATAATGTTATACATATCAAGTTCTTGTGAGAGCATTGTTCGAAATCGGATCATAAACACTTTTTGTTTCAAAATCCCCTTACATCAAATTGATGTTCGATACTCACATCTCTGAAATAATAAATGGTATTTATGTGTTGAGAAACATAGGAATATTCATGGAATATTTCATGAATATACACCACAGAATATTCAGTTGAGAATATTTCATGAATATACCGCAAAGAATATTCAGTTGGGTATATTTCATGAATATACCGCACAGAATATTCAGTTGGGTATATTTCATGAATATACAACAGAGAATATTCAGTTGGGAATATTCCTGGAAGATTCATACCTGAATATTCCCTGAACTTGTCCGACTATTCACGTTGGAATATTCCTTTTAGATGTTCCAGAAGCATGTATATATTCTAGGAATAATCGATGAATATTCGGAATATACTCCTCCTTTTTAGCATATTTAGAGAATATTCTATGAATATCCAGTGCTGTCTGGGAAGGGGCTCTCAATTCCAATCCAGCCATACACTTGATTTTATCTACCTACACAAACAAACTAACCTTTTAGACAGGCTGGTAATGACAATTTTTTTGCAACTTTTTATTGGTGTTCATCATGTCCTATAGACAATAGGCGAGTGGACAATTTTTTTTATTTCTCCAATGGAATCATCATTCAAATACCTTTCAATTTCATAGATAGAAATTTTCCGCGAGTGAAAACTGACGTCACGATTTCGTAGGTAAGTAGGGGCAGACCATAGTACAGTTGACATGTGTTGAGATACGATTGGGAATCCAAACTTTCATATATTCTCAATTATTTATTGGTAATATTCCTATTTAGCAATACAAAATTAATTGTCTCAACATGTTCCCTTGCGGGTTATGGCATAATGCTTTTAATAAATTTGTGTAAATAGTTATTATATTAATTCACAGTAAAGGACATTTGAAGCGGTGAACGTGACAACACGGCGCGAACGACTTGTAGGCGTGGTCTTGTCCCTTCTCAGTATTCAGTACAATATGTTGCCAAGTCTCCAACACCTACAATGATATTCTGTTATGGAGTATAAGAAATATTTAGACATGCTGGTTGCTCGAATAGGTCAAGCATGAACTATAATATCTAAAGGTTCCTCCTTTAATGTTTTATTCAACGACAGGACTCTCGCACATCTTTTTGATAACTTGATTATAATTATTGGTGACTTGACATCCTTACTTCATGAGTGGGAATGGAAGATTATATGACCAATAACGATAAAGTATAAAAGCTGACGTCACCATTTATTCGACGTATCGCCAAATGGTGGCCAGGACGGTACGTGTGAAATTAGCTCCGATATTCATCAATTTCGAACAACGCATACACTCATGCATTACCTATTTACATGAAAAAAGTGAGAAATATGTTGCAAATAAATTAATTTATTCCCCTAACAACATAGTGGAGTAATTGAATGCCAATAATTCATTATATAAGTCAACTTGCCCATTATCAATTTGTGCTCGCATGAAGCGGCGTCACCAATGAAAATTGATGATTTCGAAGTATGCTATTCTTTTTATTTTTCTCGAAATAGCAAGCCATGGTAACAGAAATACAACCTCTAACAAACAGTGATAAAATACTGGATGATGCTTATGGAACGACTAGCTGTAGAAGTAGCAGATCATCGCTGACGAGCTTCAGCCCTACACAAAGTTCATCAGGCCAGGAATTCGTTAACAGGGTGATGCCAGAATTGGAGGGCAAGACTGCATCAGCGGCCATCAAAATTCCAATACCCTGTATAGGAGCCATCGATGTCACAGCAAAGTAAGTTGTGTCCACGAAAAATATCTACTTGAAACTAAGTACCAATTATTTTGGTTTTTCAGATTGCACCTCATGTTTTTTTAGGCTCTTCTTATGAAACTGCATTCCATTCTCAATCTAATACCTGATTTTATTATCACACCAAATATTTTATAGTTTCGTTATTTTGTAAGACGATATATGAGTCATCAAGTCTGAATGCCACTCATACAGGTTCAACTTCAATACTTCAAATTTGTTTTAGATATATAAATATATTAATAATTTGCATTTGTTATTTCAGATTTGGAAAAGAAGCTCCATATGAAGTAATCAAGGACAAATTCAAAGAAGCGTCCCAGGGTTATTTGAAAAATATTTTGAAATATTCTGAAGAAAATCTTGTCAGCACCGATATAATTGGTGACCCCCATTCCTGTGTTTTCGATGCAAAAGCAGGGGTGGCACTATCAAAATGTATGGTGAAAGTGTTTGCTTGGTACGATAGTGAAATGGGATTCGCGAATCGAATATACGACCTAACAAATTATATGTCATCTAGAGAAAATTGTCCTAAATAAAGATTTCCCAAAGTATAATAACTTTATATCATTTTTACTTTAAATATATATACCGGGTGACACAGAGTATCTGATGGCCACCTATATGAACCTTCTGCATTCGTAAACGGACTTTTCTGAAAACATAAGCAACCTTTTCGGATTTGATCACATTACAATTCAATATGGCGGACTTCCGATTTTTCTGAGAAGGCTAACAACTTTTTTTTCAAATGGAACACCCTGTATATTTTCACAAATTCGAGTTCATCAGGTCAAAACAATGAACGGTTACAGAGATATGGAGGGGAAAAATTACAACTTTTAAAAAAACATGGCAAAACGCTTGTTTTCGAAACAACTTTATTTATTGATAAAAAAGTTAGTAAGTGAATTGGGCTTTTCAGCAATGTTTTTTCGAATGGTAAATATTCATCAAAAAAAAAATTGTAAGAAAAAATATCTTAAAGGTTGAATATTTCAACCCCTTCTAAGTAAAGTTGGAAACATCTCAAATTCAGTGATAAATAATATTTACGAAGTTTCGTATCTTTTGCACAATATACAGGGAAAATTAATAAAAAAGGAAAACCGTTCCTTTCTTCAATCTTCGGTGGGGGTATCACTGTTGCGGGGAGAGGTTTATCAAAATAGTTATTTGTACACCTAACACCTAGGTAGTGAAGAATGTCAGTATTACTCAGGGACCAAGATTAGATCCTGAGGCTTCAGCCGAGGCCGGGGTATACAAAGGTCCCGTGGTAATATTATTCTTTACTATCTAAAGCTGTATATTTTTTTTTCACCACAAGCAGAATATTTCAATCAATACATAGTTCTCTGAAACAGAAATATGAACCTTTTTGAGAAAATAAATTTCCGACTTTCCACCCTCCCCCCCACCAGAAAACAGTCGCTCGGTGTGGTTTACGTATAACTTTTTACGTGCTAAGTGGGAGCAGTAAATTGACAGAATTGTGTGAAGGAGCATCAGATCAGAGCAGACGCTTTATTTATTACTTTCGATGCATGCAGTGAGTAGATGAAAGTTTTTAAGTAGCCAATAAAGGAAATGTCGCAAGTGTATTTTAAGTTTCGATTACAATTATTGCTACAAATACAAATATTTGTTTATTGTTACCCAAACTCTTCGACTCATGCTGAATACTTATATTCAGCATGAGTCGGTAGACTTTTGGGAGAGAACCGATCGGACTTAGATTTTTGTGATCGACTACTATAGATATTTTCTATACATTAATTTATGATTCATGAATATTTATAAAATCAACAGTATTAATATATATATAAGTATTAACACAGTTAATTCATTGGAAAAATGATTATATCAACACATACAATAATTTTCGAAGTTTTATTAATATTTCTTAGATTTATTATGGCATGTTTTGAAACCAAAATATTAGTTAACTGGTCGACTACCAGTACATTTACCCTAATTGCGATTCAGGTCGGTGATTTGTTGGAACAAATAACCGTCATTATCGAGCCTCAATGGATGGTTTCGTGCGCACCAAGCGATAAAAAAATGTATCATTTACGAAGTAGCAAGGGAAATCAATGGCCACCCATATCACCAGATATGAATTCTATTGAGCATACGTCTCATGTCTGGAGGTGTTAATTGTTAGTTTCTCAGAACTGAAGAAGACAAGACGAAGACATAACCTAAAAGATGATGAAACCTAACCTGCAAAAAAATTTGTTTATGATCATTATTTGACATGACCCCCGACCAAAATATATGAAACTTTTCGAAACAAAGGTGTAGAATGTGGCGCAGTTCCTTTCAATATTTTCATCATGTGGCGAGAATTACTACAAGTCGATCAAAATTGTGCAGAAGGTTTGTAATAGTATTGATTAATTAATTGGTTTACTAAACATTCCTTCAGGAAATCCTTTTCATTGTTACCAGGAACACAATTTCGAAATATACATCTCTCACAAATATGGAGAATGTTTATTCAAACCCAAGAAACACCTAATCCAAATAGCCTCAAATTTCTACCTGGGGTGCAAGTTTTAGAACCAGGCCAGACTATTGATTTTCCAACAGGTCAGAGTACTTACTGTTCACCATTAGGAAAGATGCTTTTTCGAGTTGAAGGAGTAAAGAGTATTTTCCTTGGACCAGATTTTATAACAGTTACGAAAACTGATGATGATGTTGAATGGAAACTGTTAAAACCTGAAGTGTTTGCTATAATCATGGATTTCTTTGCAAGTGGTCTGCCTGTCTTGAATGATGCAACACCAAACAAAGATACAGGTGGGAATGTTATCCATATTTTATGTTTATATTCTTTTCTTTCATGTTTTTCATGAATTTCAGAAGTTTATGAGGATGATGATGAAACAGTACAGATGATAAAAGAACTCTTGGACACAAGAATAAGACCAACTGTTCAAGAAGATGGGGGTAATTTTAATACCTTATACCAATATAATTTTCTCTCAAAGGTTTATAACTTGTACCCTGGGATCTAAAATGTGGTCCACATTTTTTACTTCCTTGTTTCTTTTTAGGAGACATTATCTTTGTTGGATTTGAAGATGGCATTGTGAAATTGAAAATGCAAGGAGCATGTTCTAGCTGTCCAAGCTCAATTGTTACCCTCAAAAATGGTGTGCAGAATATGATGCAGTTTTATATTCCAGAGGTTTTGGGTGTAGAACAAGTCATTGATGAAGGTGAAAAATTATCAGAGAGTCACTTTGAAAAAGTAGAAAAACAAATTCTTACTAGAGAATCTGAAGAAAGCAAAAAGTGATGTACAACATTATATATGTTGACTATTACAGTGAACTGTGAGATATAGCTAAAATTATCAAGACTGATTAAACTTGAGAAGTGTACAGAAATGAAAATAGTAGGTATCATTGTTGAAATATAATTAATGAAACATTATATAGCAACTATAAAAATACTTGTTTTAACAGAAACAGTGTGTATTATTCATAACACTATCTGTTGGTGACTTTTCCAACTTAATCTCTTGTGCATCATCAATGCCTAAAATAACTGAATCAGTATCTGGTAAAGCTTCTCCAATTCTTCTGAATAAGAGTTTTATATTGTATCCAACTTTTGCACTAGTTTCAATGAACAAAATTCCTAAATTTTTTGCTTGTTGTTCAGCAACTCCATTTGGTACCTCTCTCAAATTCTCGAGGTCTACTTTATTGCCTACTAACATAATTATGACATCATCTCCTCGTTCTTTCCTCACATCCTTTATCCACTTTGTGGTTTGTTCAAAGGAAGTGAAGTTTGTAATATCATAAACAACAACAGCAACTGCAGAGTCTCGGATGTATGATGGTATTAGAGTTCTGAAGCGTTCCTGTCCTGCAGTATCCCACAATTGCAGTCTTATAGCTTTATCTTCCAAATACACTGTTTTGGACAGGAAGTCTATTCCTATCGTGGCCTGATAGTTGGCATCAAAATTGTCATACATAAATCTTGTAATAATAGACGTTTTTCCAACACTTTGTTCTCCCAGAAAAACAAGTTTATATTTTTTCAATGTAAATAACTCTGGTCTATTACATTTGCTTGCCATATTAACGAATTTGAACATTCCCGGTGAAAACTGATTCAGAACATTTGAGTTCTGTGACCAGACAGCTTTCCGTGACTTTGACGTCATAAATGTCAGATGATGCATTCTAATATCTATTATTTATATATATAGCGCATCGCCTATTCAATATTTCAACAAATATGGGACCAAAATCAGAGGTACTTTTTTAATCTATAAGGATGGAAACAGCTAGGGAAACAGCCATATTGGTTTCACAAATTTCGTATTATTTTTTCCCTACGTCGGCAGTTTTCTTGTCATCGCAACGTCAGATGATGACTCACAAGTACAGACTCTGTTTTTGGTCAGAGATGTTTTGGTGGCGCGGTTTTTTGGACCTCATTTTCAACTGTCAAAATACAGAAGTCATAAAAAGTCAATGATTGCAATATTCTTGCAAGTCTCGCATTTTGCATGCAATCATGGTTAATGTTATGAAAGGAGTGTTAGTTAAGTGGTGAGTAAATTCTCGTGGTAGAATCACAGAAACATCAACTACTCTCTTGTTTATGGGTAGACTCAGAATAAGGAAATTGGTAAAACCTCTTCCCTGCTAAAACCTAGGTACTTGAAAATGGTTCACTTTAGTTGGAACTATGAAACAATATTATATTATCACCAACTACAGTCAGATGCAAAGAACTTGCCGCGGTTGGATCGTGTTGCAGAAGTGGCTAGAAGTATGTGCTAAAGGTGCTATGTGCTATATCACCTCCCATTGTGACATTTTCATTGCATCTGACTGTACATTAAACATCACAAAAGTTGGCATAGAATCGATTAATTTGGGAACTGGTCATGTATCTACATAGAGAAATATAATGAATATGTAGATTAGATTTAGAGTGGGGCCTTCAGGCTATCTGCCTCCATACCATGACCTTTTCAGATCTATTGTGCCTGACCTCAAAACCGTTTAGGAGTTCTTTGGCTAGCCAACCTTCTCTATGAGACTCCATAGACTAGCTTTCAGATCCCCTGTGTAACTTTGGACTCTTGGTTTTTCCTCACCCAGCATGAGGAACCTTAGTCTTGACATGCCCTCACAGTGGCAAAGTATGTGTACAGCTGTTTCATCCTCTTCCTGACAGAACCTGCACAGCAGTTCGTCTGTCAGTCCTATCATACTCATTCTGTTTGTTGAGCCTACAATGCCCTGTGAGAAGTCCCACTATAGTATTCTAGTTGTACTTCATTTCTGGCTCAGTAGATATTCTGTGAATGTTGGCAATGGTTTTTTTAATAAACTCTTGCCAGTCATTATGTTCTGACTGCCCAGTTCATTTAGAGTTTCTGAGCAGTCCCATACTAGCTTTGAGTTAACTTGCATTGAGTTGAATGCTTTGATTGATGCCTGGCTATCAGAATAGATTGCAATGGTTTTCCCTTTAAACTCTTGCCTTATCAATTATTTCAGGCACTGATGTATTGCAATGATTTCTGCCTAAAACACCGTTGCTTATTTGCCTAAGCTCAGTGAGATTCTTGTCTTTTGCTTGGCCCCATAAATACTAGTTGACCCTTCTTTGGTTTTGGAGCTGTCCCAATAGACAGCAATGTCTGCATTAATAGGAGGTTCTTCCTTCCATATAGCTTATAAAAAACTTTAAAAAAAGTACAGGTTATGGACAGAGAGGCATGAATAGGTAGGTACATTTCAAACAAAACTATCTAGAGTTGGAGCCGAGGTTGGTGCTGTATATTGTAAATCTATATCAAATTAAATCACTAGCCAAACCTTATGACTTAAGAACTTATACTTTACCTAGTATTACAAATTAATTATTCAATATAATCAAACTCCTCAGGTATACCAAACTGTTTGTTCAGAACATTGTCTTCAATATTGAATTTCTTTTTACACCATGATTTTACTGCAAATACATTATCGGTCCATCTATTTGCAGCTTCTTTCAGTTCCTACAAATATATTAAAAAAATGAGTACCTTACTAGCAATGTGATACATATCTACTCAATATTTAATAAGTGAGTAAATACTCCAAAGGATATTTACTCACCTCTGATTTCTGTATAAGTGCCTCAAATTTCTGTGGATCATTCTCTTGGTACTGCCTGAGTTCCTGTTTCAAAACATTCAATTCCAACTCCTTATCATTTATTTCTTCCAAAATACTATTTCTTTTTTCTTCAACATCATCATTTTCCTGAATAAATGTACAATTGTACAATCATTGGTATAACCATTTCCTTATGTTCATACTTATATTTTCTTAGGTAGAGTCCGACTCCGACGTTAACTTTGGGACAGCAGTGACGCATAACGCATATGCATATTCAATGCATACGCGACCACGTGCTGTCCCAAAGTTATCGTGGTCGGACTCTACTAAATAATTTCCAGAATCTCAAGGTATTTCATACATATTATGTACAGTGTGTCCAGTGGTACAGATCTTGAATGAGCGTCGCCAGAAAAGGATTTTTTCTTGATCAATGTGAAATTCCTCTACATTGAAAACTGTTTTTTTACAACCATTGCTACATTTCATGTGCCAAAAAAGCACCCTAAACTATTTTATCAAATATACAGTGAATGTATCTGTGTGTGATTGATTATTTTACTTTTCAGCATAATTTCAGTTTTGAAATATTAGGTATGTCTTGGCAATTTTCATAAACCTATTTTGACTTCCATGTGGCAAATACAAAAAAGAGTAATCTTTGGAAGAAGTCCATGATAACTCAAAGTGGAGTGGTGTAGTTCATATATATTCTAGAACTATAATATTTTCTATTGGCTGATGATGGGCTTATATAAGCCCGAAACATGTTCCTTTGAGATTGGTCTTTGATCATTCTAATAAATGTTGTGGAGATGACTTTGGGTTTTCATCTATGACAACAAAAACTTAGTGAAAGTTGTTTACATCAACATTTAGGACACAGACACATAGACCCTTGTCTAGGACTTGGGCTTACCTACCAAATTTCAAAATCTTCTGGTCACTATTCCTTTTTTTTTTCAGCCCCCCCCCTGGCGACGCCCTCAGATCTGTGATTCATTTGATAGAAACACCCATGCTCAGAAATAAAATTTGTTTGAATCTAAAGTACCTTAGACTCCTCTACTGTTTTTTCTATCATCCTCAGCTTCTTCATAGATTCTGCATATTTATTTTGAAGATCCTCAAGTTGATGCTTTCTTGAATTGACAGCCTTACTAGAAAATTGATAGAGAAGTAAAGTGTGTAAACTATGAGTACAGGGTGATCCATATCAAAAATGCCCACCCCTATATTTACCTTATTATTTTTTATCAAGAAAAAAAACAATGTGTGGAAGTTGAATGCAGCAATGATACCTTTTCAAAGCCCTTGGTGATCCCTGAAAGCTTGATAAACCACAAATTATTATTTATTAATGGATCACCCTGCTTTTTATGTTTTCTTCAGTTTTTTGTGATCACAGAAATATATCCGCCATTTTGAATTTCCTAATTTCGACGAATAAATCATAGCGGAGCCCCGAAAACCCCATACCAATTTTGAATAGAATTGGAAAATAATTAAATAACTCGTCCGCCCTATTGGATCCGCCATTTTGAATTTTCTGTTATTGATGAATGAATCATAATCTCCGACCCCAAATCCCCAGATCCCAGATACCAATTTTGAATAATCGGATTACAAAACTCATCCGCCATATTAAATCCTCCTTTTAAAATTTTGAATTTTCGATATAAAAAACAGATTACGACCGATTCTCATACCTACCGAATACGCACAAACATTTTCATTGGAATCGGTCGATCCGTTCCGGAGGAGTTTGGCTACTAACTGGAACAGGATAATTTTATGTATTAGATAATTATTAAATAATTACCTGGGAAACGCCCAAAAATACACAGAAGTTCCAATTTTGTCAGTATCTACCAAGCCATCTTCTACTAATTTTTGTATTACTTCTTTTACTGAATTTGCAACAATGCCTTTTTCCTTTGGAGCTATCTTTTCCAATTCCTAAAAAAATAGGCATTTATTCAGAAATGATAAGAATAATTATTATTATTTTTGTAGTTTTACTTTCAATTGAAAACATTCTCCCTTTTCGTAAAATAGTTGAAGCATTCTAGTTCTCTTTTCTTCAGCACTCACCCCTTTTTTGGACATTTTAGGTTTTCAGATAAACAGTAATTTTAGCAATCTAAAAATAGAAAATAATCTTCAAAATATATCCAAAATCATTTCATGATATTCTTATTGGCACCTACTTATTTCAAACTTATAAATTAGTATTTTTTAGTGACCAGGCTATGAAACAATTTTTACTACATCTGGATGAAACACTCAAGCTTGGAAGAAAATTTATAATACAGGATTTAGATGAAAATCATTTGTTCATTTCAGCAGATATTCTGGATACACTGCAAGCAAAAATTGATGATTTAATGGATCAAATTAGCTTCCCATTGGCAGAGAAAAGTGGATAATTGATTAGTACATATCTGATAAATCAAATAATCAAAATGACTATTTCAAAATCAACTTTACGTGGTTCCAACCGCATCAAAGAAAATGACAAAAGGAGGATTGTGGATGAGACTTCGCGCAAGCGAAGACATCGTAAAATAATGGAACTCCTTGAGTCTGATAACTATCATGATGATCCCCATGCAGACCTAGTGATGAGTAAAAAAATACCAAAATTTGATGACAACTTAGAACACAGAAACACTCGTACAAAGAAGAAGGAACGCACAACTGAATACTATCAATTCAAGTATAGGAAAAACTTTCAACAGTTGGTGGATGAAGATAGAGCAGAAGCTGAACTAAACAAGAGGGTTTCATATATGGATATCCAGTGTGAAGAGTCTCCCCTTCCTCCTCGCCATTTTTGTGCTGTCTGTGGATTTTTAGGACAATACAATTGTTTGTCTTGTGGTACTAGATATTGTAGTATACGGTGCATGGACACTCATATGGATACCAGGTGTTTGAAATGGGCTGCATAATAAAGTTTTTTGAAATATTTATTGCATTCAGATCAATCCTTTATTTAACCAAATAAGGTGAACCTAACCTGCTTTTCACCAGTTTAAGCTGATGTATAGGCTGATGCATGGCTGATGTCATAATATACTGATAAACCTATACACTTAGGACCCAATGAACTCAATATTTAGGACCACGGTAGCATAAACCTCAATACTTATATGCAACAGCATTTTACAATTTTCAGGAGTAATTAATATTACTGTTCTGATTAGGTCATAGGTAGAAATATACATGATGAAGGGTTTGAAGGGATATAGAGTTCTAAGCCTGGCACAGAATGTACATACTTTTCACCAGTTTAAGCTGATGTCATATACTGATATACCTATACTTAGGACCGCGGTAGCATAAACCTCAATACTTATATGCAACAACAGTTTTCAGGAGTAATTAATATTACTGTTCTGATTAGGTCATTATGAAGGGTTTGCAGGGATATAGAAAAAGTTCTGAGCCTGGCACAGGGTTACTAGGAGTAGGAATTAGGGCAGCAGACTGCAGAATTGGAAAAATCTCAAACAGAAGTCAACCTACCAATCCAATTCATCAATATATTATCTGGAATTTGAATATTATCCTGAGATAGGATCAGAATGTTTCAGTTCGTATATTCCATATTCATGACAAAATTTTCAAATAGGGAATATATTATATTCATTCACCACAAGAATATTTATGATATCAAAATATTTATGTTGACCATCTTCCTTAGTTTTAATTTTAGTTTTAATTTTTTAGTTTCTTGCATGAGCACCTAAATTACATTTCATAGTTTTATATTATTGGTTTAAGTTTGAAATTCATTAAAGTTTTGAATTTTGCTTGCATGAATCCACCTTTAGAACCATCAGTCTTTTATTTTCACAAGAATGTTTGCAAATCTGAGCAAAATCAACACCTTTTTCACTGTTGTCTGACATAAAAAATATTTTGGTCATCATTTTTACATTTTTGTTAACATATTTGTCCTCAATTTTAACAGGTGTCATACAGCCTTTATAAATATAAATTAAATATTATATTTCAAATTTTTTAAAAGATTTGCTACTAGATACCTGTCAAGTGTCAACACCACAACAACAACCGCCGTCCGGGCTAGAGTTCAGATACCCAAGAGTAGAGGTCGGAAAACATCGATACTGGTGGGTATCGATACTACAGGGTGGCATTGAAATAAGTGCAAATATTTTTAACACTGAGGAAGCTCGACGTGTACTATCGAATAGCACTAATAAAAAAAATTCAGGGTTTTTTGTGGCCCTTATAATACGCTTTCGTATTTTGAAATTATTTAAAGCGGCGTTCACAACCACACTTTTACTTTTTGCTTATTACGTTTAGTCGAGCGTTTAATATTCTAATTGGTGAAGAACTGAAATTGAACGTGAATTGAACTGAAGCAAACATCATTCTCATCACAAAATTTCAATGTGAACCTTTACGGCTTTTCTCAGTTGCTTTGGTTTTGTCCTTTGTGATATTGAACCGGCGGAGTCGTAATGGCTCTTTATTTAATACTTGAAGAGGAAAATCAATCCTGAAAAATGAAAGAAAACATTGAACATCAATACTTTCGTACCTCTCTACTATTCCCTGGATTCACAAAAAAATCATGACTTCCAAATCAAATTATGGAGATTAAAAAGAAAATGTACATCACCGATTGAAATTTGTCTCAACATGCAAACTATTTTTAGTTTCTATTCTGCTAATCCGGAAGCGGTGTCCTATGCGACTCTGGCGACCCTGCTTTTGAGTAGAGTCACGAAAAATCAATCCGAGTCAGTGATCGACTTAGCAATGTAAGCATGACTCAAGTTTCCGAACAGAGGTAGGTGACTAGATTTAGGCATCGAATATCAATTTTCTGGATATTCGATGGTTTAGGTAACCGAACGTTCAGCAGGTTAGGGAACGCATCAACCCCAGTAATTTTCCGAAAACGTCATAGTCGGTAACAAGCTTCTATCTAGACCACAGCAAATCTTTCGAACATCGAGGTCAAGTGACGTCACCCACAACACGTGAGATTTTTTTCTTTATACTGCGGGGCGGCAATTTTTTTTTAAACTATTTTCACTCAATTAAATTTTTCGAAAATACATTTTTCAGGAAAGAGGTTAATTTAAGACAAGTTAGGTTGAAAGTACATTCCTTTTTTCATGCAGAAAAGATATTTTCCTTCTTCATATAACACGAATAACCCTGTGATTTGAAAGAGTCGCTGGTCTAGCTAGACGCTTGTTAGGGGGCTATTCTGTAACGCTTAACGACATCGTTAGTGAACGATAATCGTTAAGGAACGATATTTGTTATTCTGTAGCTAACGATCGATTGTCGTATCTGTACGACAAAACTTATCGTTTGTAGACGACATCGGCTGAGGTGTCTTTGCATACATTTCTTTGTCGTTACGTGAAGGAGACACAAAAAATAATATAGAAATTGGCAGACAGTGGTGAATGTGAATAACCAGGCATTAGTAGAGCTAGTTCTAGAAGAGATAGCACGCAGATAATAAACTCTTCATTGTTTCTAGTGATTGCATTGGTACATTACATTGTAATATCATGTGATATCATCAAAAAAATTTCAGACAACAACATATAGACAGCAACTCAGAATACTCAGGGATATGAGTAATCCTGAGTTACCAGATGTGCTAATTCGTCAGATGTATTTATAATATTGAGCAAAAGATGCAGCACAAGATTAATCTAATGAAATATCAGGATTCATGTTGCCGGCAGATAGAAATACAAAAAACACTCCTATCATGAGAGTGAGATTAGAAAGATAGGGAAGTTTTCTTATAGTAGTAGTATAATAATATATATACATACATGCATACATATGTACATGTATGCATGTATACATACCAATTGGCCATAGACCTTACGATAGATCCTTCAGCCCATGTGTGTTCTATGTGGGCTTTGTTACTAACTCCATACGCCACCTTAGGAGCAGAACCTTTTAATTGGAAAGCAACAGCGAATCGTGCGAAATCGTCTCCTGCCGAGGCAACGAAAATTTAAATTTCTCTCGTTATATAAATGAAATTTCTGCTCTGCCAGAGATTCGGACCTAGCGACCTTTCGATATTTACATTTCATGGTATCTACATGAACTTATCAAAAACCTGATGTGGGTTCAGACAGACTCAACAGTTCATCTCAACCCAATGTGTCGATCACTTTATGAGGTTGATATGATATTATTGTCAATAATCTTGTTGTGAAGTTCCCTCAGACAGCTGGTGACATTTTCAACACAAAAACAACAATTTTGTTGTCTGGAAGACGAAGTACTGACCATATTATTCGACAAAAATGAAAAATAACATATCATTACCTTCTTTTCAACTTCTAACGAGTTTCGCGCGTTTTTTAGCCACAGAACATCAACATCAACAAAGAACCCACACGAATTCCAGATGCCAATAACCATTCAGCTAACATACTTGACTTATTCCTCACTAATAATTCAGCACCCTACACCATAGATGTACGAGCTCCACTTGGCAATTCTGACCACACACTCATCTCCACAACCTGCCCATTTTTCATTCCATCAACTGCTCCGGCACCCCCACGTCTTATATGGAATTACAATTCAGGAGATTGGGACGGTCTCCGCATGTTTTTCTCCGAGTTTCCTTGGCATAGAGTATGCTTTGACTCTGGGGACCCTTCACAGTGTGCTGCGGAAATATCCGAGATCATCATGCTCGGAATGGACACATACATACCTCATTTTTCGAAAAGATCATCACCTTCGAAACCCTGGTTCAACAAAAACTGTTCTAGAACTGTTGCCTTGAAACAAACAGCCTACCATCGCTGGCGCAAAAACCCTAACCTCGCGACTAGAGCAGAATACGTTGATGCCAGGAATAACTGCAGCCAAACAATAGATGCTTCGAAAGAAACATACAATGCCAAGATAAGATCGAAACTCATAGATTGCCCCAATGGCTCCCGTTCGTTTTGGTCCCTTGCTAAAGCGGTCGGGAGAAATTTCACTAATAGTTCATTTCCACCACTGTCCAAATACGACGGCACATTAGCAACAACATCGCAGGAGAAAGCGAATATTTTTGCAGAGATGTTCGCAGCAAACTCTACTTTAGATTCCCAAGGAAAACTGCCGCCAGACATTCCACCCGTTGAGAGTCGAATGCCCGAAATCGTCTTCCGTCAACGCACTATCAGACGAATTTTGCTTGGTCTCAAAACGAATAAGGCTAACGGTCCTGATGGAATTCCACCCATTATCCTCAAAAAATGTGCACCAGAATTAACACCGATTCTCTGCAAGTTGTTCACCATCTCTTACAGTTCGGGTATTTTTCCATCATGCTGGAAGACAGCTAGAGTCCAACCAATCCCCAAAAAAGGGAACAAGAACCTGCCCAACAACTACAGGCCCATTGCCCTGTTATCAGTAATCTCCAAAGTGATGGAGAAAGCCATCAATATTGAGCTGATCAAATATCTGGAGAGCTCAGGAATCATCAATGATAGACAATACGGCTTTCGCCACCGAAGATCTACTGGAGATCTACTTGCCTACGTCACCCATTTATGGCAATCTTCAATAGAAAAACACGGGGAATCTCTAGCTGTCGCGTTGGACATATCGAAAGCATTCGACCGTGTTTGGCACGAAGGACTCCTCCACAAACTACCATCATACGGCTTACCACCTCAGCTATGCCATCTCTTATCGAGTTTTCTTTCAGGCAGATCGCTTCACGTGGTGGTGGACGGTGTATCGTCTGATACCATTGGCATCAATTCCGGCGTTCCCCAAGGATCAATTTTGGCACCAACATTATTCCTGCTTCATATCAATGATCTGTTGGGAGTAACAACTTGCCCCATCCACAGCTTTGCAGATGATAGTACCCTCCATACTGCGTTCTCTTCCAGAATTCCCATTTCTTCCCAGGAAACTAAGAACTCACGGCGCAGGCAGGTCAATGCTGTCAATGAAGATCTTGCTGAAATCACAGCCTGGGGAACGAACAACCTAGTTGAATTCAACGCCACCAAAACTCAAGCCTGCATTTTCTCTAGAAAGGCGGAACTCAGTATGCCCGATATTGTAATGTCTGGCTCCACGATCCCCACCAAGCCCACCATATCTATGCTCGGTATTTCCATCAGCAACACTCTTTCATGGGATAATCATGTCAGATCCATCGCAAAAGCTGCTTCACAAAAACTCGGATTCTTGTTCCGTGCGAAAAGCTACTTTACACCTCAACAGCTCCTCATGATCTACAAAGCGCAGATACGGCCTGTTCTAGAATACTGTTCCCACATATGGGGTTCAGCACCAAAACATACGCTGATGCTCTTAGATTCCATCCAGAGAAGAGCCATTCGCCTGGTGGGTGACGCCACACTCACTCACTCTTTGACATCATTGGAACACCGTAGAAAGGTCGGCGACCTTTCACTTTTCTATCGATATTTCCACGGGAAATGTTCTTCGGAAATCTCTGCAATCATCCCTTCACTAGCAATACCAATCAGACGAACTAGACAAGCCCAGTCAGCACATCCTTTCGTTGTCAACCTCGAAAGATGTCGAACAGCACTTTATCAAGACTCCTTCATCCATAGAACGGCTAGGCTCTGGAATTCATTGCCTGTGGAAGTATTCCCAACAACATATAATCTCCAAAAATTCAAAAAAAATTCCAATACCTACCTCCTGTCCCTATCCTCCCTAGGAACGCACGATGTTCTTTGAACATTATAGGGATTCCCTTTCGTGCGCTCCAATCGATAAAAAAAAAAAAAAAAAAAAAAAAACATACTGTTACCAACATTCATCAAATCCATTTATTACCATGTCCCCAGATTTTTCTCTAACGACATCGATACTGAATAAGCTTCCAGAATTTATCGTTCAATATGTCGTTGGTCCATGTATCGTTAAGGTAACGATATCGTATTCTAACGATAAGTTACTGAATAGACCCCTTAGTCGATGTTACCTTACCCAAGGATAGGGTGTTACCTTGACCTGCTGGGTGTTATGGATTTACGATCCTTGGGTGTTACCAGACTTGTTACCAATGTTACCAGACCTGTCGACAAATGTCAAATGTCGATTGTCGTGAGAGACGTGAATTGAGGTTATGATTGTTATGACACAGTTGAAAATTGAAAATGTTGAAATACTGAAAAGGTCTAAAGCAGAACAGAAACTTTTTTGCGAAAACGATTGAAAATATGGCCAGGACCAGAAAGATGTAAATTTCCTTATTTGAGAGGAACTTTTAGTAACTACAGTATAAAAAAGTACTGTACTCAGCCGATATGACAGAAAATTATACATTGATTACAAATGGAGAAACCTCTAAAGACACTTCAGAGCAAAAACCCAAATCTGGATTAATGAAACTCTCAAGCTATGTTTTAGCTCTGCGGCCCTGGTCACTTAGTGCAAGTTTGATGCCAACTTTATTGGGCGCTACATTAGCATACAAATATCCAGGAACCTCTGAATTCAACTACATTACCCTATTACTGACTTTGTTCACTGTAGTGTCTGTGCATGGAGCTGGAAATGTTGTCAATACATATTTTGATTATGTGAAAGGCATTGATAACAGAAAATCAGATGACAGAATACTTGTGGATCACCTGCTCACAAAAGATGAAGTGGTTTCCCTTGGAGCCATGTTATATTTTGCTGGATGTGTAGGATTCATACTCTTGGCCAGTATATCACCAGCCAAAATGGAACATTTGGCACTGGTCTACTTTGGAGGATTGTCTTCAAGTTTCTTATACACTGGAGGTATTGGTTTCAAGTATATAGCTCTAGGGGATGTTCTGATTTTGATTATATTTGGTCCAATTTCTGTGCTTTTTGCATTTATGTCTCAAACTGGGAGAGTAGAATGGGCAACTATCTATTATGCCATACCTCTTGCTTTGAACACAGAAGCTATTCTTCATAGTAACAATACCAGGGATTCAGAATCAGATAAAAAAGTAGGAATAGTAACTGTAGCAATCATAATTGGACATACTGCTTCACATGTACTTTATGCATTTTTGCTGTTCACTCCTTACATAATGTTCATGGTAGCTTCTCTAAAATACTCAAAATGGTTCATGTTGCCTTTGATTACCTTACCAGGAGCATTCAAAATAGAGAAACAGTTCAGGTCTAAAGACATTCATAGTGTTCCAAAAAAAACTGCCAAATTGAATCTTTTCTTTGGTGTGTTATATGTATTGGCTTGCAGTTTGGTAACTACTTTACCATATATAACAAAAAGATAGATGTTTGAATTATTATTAATTGTATTTATTATTATAAGAATGTTTTTTATTGTTCTATTAAATTTTTTACCAAATATCTTAGGTTAAATTTGAAAAGTAAAGTAAACTTGTTGTTACTAAATAATGTATAGTTTTTCAGTAACGATGACAACAGCAAGAGAATGTTAAGACTTTGAGTTAATCAAGATCATAATCATTGAAAAAGAAGAAAACTCATGAGGGTCAAGGGTCAAAACCTACTTGAGATTTCAGAATTAACCTGACAATGTCAGATGTGGACACTACATCAAGTAAAGCTAGGTTCTGTCAGAAAGTTTTTGTATTTTCTAATTTTCCATTAAAATCATTCCATACTCTTTCATAAATATTTTCAGAAAATATGGATGATTTTATATCTTAATAATTACAGCTCATTGGCTTCATAAATAGATCACAATTAAGTGATTGATTAACCCAATTGATTTCATTAAAAAAATGCATGTTCCAATTTTCAATATTCAATTATTCTTCATTACCCAAGGTGACTATGACCAAAGCCCCTAAAAATCACTAGCAGTCAGAGAATTATAACTTTCTGGCAATTAGTGTAGGCAATATGCTCTCTCACTATTGAGCTAATTATGACTTATGAGTTGTGCTCCTAAGTTTGTTATGTACTTTGACATGAAAAAATGACAAGTTTACTGGATTACTTAAAGAAAAAAATTGTATGATGAAATCAAAAATCGAATACTACTAAACCCTTTTTCAAAAAAAACTCCATCCATAATTCACTATATTTATGAAAGCCTAGACTCTATAACTCAAGGATGAAAGTTTAGTTTTTGATGTTTAAATGTCCTTTATAATATCATTATCATTTATGCAACAATGACATGTCATAGGTTATTAAGTTATCAATTTCAAATTGACCACATTGATTAGGTTATTTGAATATGACACAACAGAAAATGTCAAGGGTATAATTTGTTGAATTTCATTAGAGAGTGATTATCAGCTAAATGGAATTTATGGAATAATATTGTATACATGTTGATTTCATTTTTCAAAGCTTTATGTTTTCAAAATTGGTTTGGGGTATATTGAATTTGTTTCATTTGACTGATCCATACTGTACATCTCTGCTCAGTGAATGAGTAATGACTAATGACTCCTGTCTTCTTGAAAAATCAGCTAATGCCTATGGACATGGAACATCAACTTTCAGTCTGAAAGTTGATGTTTGATGCCATGGATTAATATAATTACTCACTAGTGTTCCTGTACAACATTTCCGCCGAAGTACTTATCACTCTTTTAATTTGCCAATTTGGAAAATACCAAAAATATCCCAATCTTTGCAATTTTCGCATTATTTATAACCACAAAGACAAATTTTGCGTACAGTCATTAACAAACAAAAACATAAGTATGGTGCAGACTTTATGCACGACCGGGCGTAAAGTGGAATTTTATCGCCCGGATTCGCGGCCGTTAAGTAGCACTTTAGCGCCTTAGGGCAATAAAGGAGTACAGCGGGCGGTAAAATAGTCCGGCGGGCGGTGGTAAAGTAGGTGATCAGGCGGCAAAGTAATTCCACCGTTTTTCCAGTAATTTCTAGTATAGACTGCCATTCGGTTTTTATTCGCCAGTGGCATACGTGAATTGGCCAAAATAATTTAAAATCATTTATCAATTCCATATTGACAGTAAATAAATGTCTAAATCTAAACCGGTCGTAGAGTAACTTGCTTCTATGGACCTAGGCGTGTTAATAGCAATGATAGCCCTCGCTGTCGCTTTTACTCACATGCTGCGGTCCATAAAAGCCTACTTTACGTCCTTGATACATAAATAACTATTACTTATATTATTCCATGATGAGTGTGGAAAATAATCTTTTGCACCTCAATTCATTTATCAAAACTGAATCCCGTGATTGCTTTCCAATAACAATGAGATTACTTATGTAAGAATTATATCATTGATCATTTGCGAGGACAAAAAAAACAAATAAGATGTACTACTGTCCAGGACTTTTTTCCTCTTGCTCAAGTTAGAAAAAAAATTATGAGAGAGAGCAAAAATAAAATCTGGAAACATTACTACATAGTTATTGATTTTCATAAGTTAGTTCACATCTTGATGTATACATATTTAAATTATTTATGAAATTTGTTATTTATTATTCATACAGTTTTTAAGTTTATATATGTTTTACATTTCACAACTATTATTTTTGAAGGCAATAACTCTTGAACTACTTTGTGAATGTATGGTAAAACATTCCTTATTTTTTCCGAAATGAGATCTGATTAGGTATTACTTTGAAATAATATTTCGAATATTTTGAAGTTAAGTATTTCAAGAGTTATTGTTATTACCATATTAGGTTTCCCACAATAGCTGGAGCTGGGACATGCTTTATATCCATTTTGTACAAAAATGGGACTTAAAATTGTTATTGGTTTTGAACTCCTGTTCGCGGTAGTCAAGGTCATCATCTTACCTTGCGATGACTAAAAAACTATGGGAAAACCTGAGCCAGATAAGTGACTGAATCTTTCGAACCATTCCCATCACGTGATATGTCGCGATTCGTGTTGCTTTATGCATTTTTCACAATAAAATTGTGGAGGCTGAGTTTGGTCAGGGAGTTTTATTCTGGTCCACTAATGGCATGGCGTCAGCCCACAGTGATGATTTGTGACGAGAGCCTAAAGTTTTCGAACTATTCCCAAACCTCATTATCATATTGGTCACAGTTCAGTCACAGTAAATCACGTGATACATTATGGAAGCATAACGAAACCATCCGGGCACAGTCGTACCTCGTACGAGAAAGAGGTTATATACTGTGCTCGGGGTCTCGAGAGGAACGAGAAATAACATCCTTGAAAGCCTAAATCACTATAAAATAATCACAGTGGGCTGACGCCATGCTATTAGTGGACCTGAATAAAACTCCCTGACCAATCTCAGCAAACACGAATCTCCACATATCACGTAATGGGAATGGTTCGAAATCTTTAGGCACTTCTCAGTAGGTAGACAAGTACGAAAATTCCCATATTATGAGTTTATTTGGTTGTCCCCACTTTTCCCCATTTCTATACAGGTGTTCCTTGAAGTCATGCTAATATTCGAGGGGGTCATTCTTCAACTCATTTGAAGAAAAAACTACTAACGTAGGTCCTGAAAGTCTTAACTTTTGAGATCTTCATGAAATTTGATACATATCTTCTATACGGCTGTGCTTCTATGCATCAAGGTGCATTTTTTTATGTATACAAATTTCCCTTTTCTCTGCCAGTGGCGCCGTTAGTGGGATATGATTGATTATATTATACTCAAAAGTGAGCAACGAAGGAATATTTCCAAATTTAATAAAATGCTATGAAGCACGCTCCGTTTTCGAGAAAAAAACGAGATCAAACTTCAAATTTTGATGTAAATGCTAAAAGCTTGAGTACTCCAGTCAGGAGATCCATTACTGGATAACCACAGTATGTAACATTTTGAAATTTTTGCACCGTTTCAGTCACATAGCAGAATAAATTTTGCCATCAGGAAAATCTATACAGGGTGGACAAAAAAAGAATCTATGTATATGTTCAACTTTGATCAGTGCCGGATTTATACTCACTTACGCCGGGGGCTAACTATTATGATGCCGCCGCGGCGCCGCCAAATAATTCAAAATTCAAAGTACCCGTTCACCGAATGTAAAAAATATAAAACAGAAATTGTCTCCTTCAGAACATGAAGTTTTTGGATTCGGTTCTGTCGGTTCTCACTCTATCTCATTTGAACTGAGAAAAAGTGAAAGTAATTTAGTCCCTCTCTTGACAACTTCATCCACCTTCATTTGCTTATTCATCTCATTCTGCCGTTTCCAGAATGCACCACTTTCTTTTTTACTCATATTTTTGAATTCCAGTTTCAATATCTACCATTACCAACGACAACCTATTGAGTACTGAATGCTGGTTTTGTTATTTGTTATTGAGTTAGACGAATCACAAAATTACCCCTACTGACTAGAATATGGTTTTTTCCTCTTGATCAAATGCACAGCTGACGCTTGATTAGTGAATGTTACGATTTTCACAAAAACGGTATTCCAACCTCCGAACAACAAACTCCCTGTATGATCAAAGATCCCAATCCTTCTGATGCGGTGCCGACTGCCGGCGGTCGCTAATTGCGAATTTGCTTCAGAAGGCGACGAGTCAAGAGGCGACATATAAAAGGCAATAAGCAATATTATACTTGTCGCCTCATCGGCGATGAGTATATTATTGCTGCTTGCTTTTTTTCTTTTTCCCTACCGCCTCTTAAAATTCACCGCCGGGGGCTGATGATAGTCCCATAGCTCCCCCTAAATCCGGCACTGACTTTGATACCCTGTATGTCAAAAGATAGTAATTTTACGACATACTTCATATAAAGTTTTATTCTTGAAATGTGTCTAATAATCGCCCTCTTGAATATTACTAATATTAGCATGTCATTAAGGAACATCCTGTATATTTTCAACAGATATTCCCATAATATGGGAAAATTCCCACAGCTTGGCATCACTTTGTTGACAAATGAGTCAAAATATTGTGCGCATCAGGGCCGTAGCTAGGAGGGCCAGGCCAGACAGAATATCCTTTCTTGTGTGATTCTTATTGGTGCTTCCTCTGAAACACTGTCTAATGATTAACGATCCTTCAAAATCAATCAGAAAACATAATAATGTTGAGCACCTACAAAAACGTATGTACGTATGAAATAATACAAAAAGACAGTAAAATAAATGATTTTATATTAATATATAATGGTAAAAGATGTGTTTTTTTTAATGGAATATTCTCAGATATATTATTGAATTAGACGCACCTATTGCAAAAAACATTTTTGATTCATACAGGGTGATCACATTTTTTTTTTCGAAGGAATTAAGTAGGTGATCTAATAAATGCACTACAGGGCGTTTAAGTCAATCAGGGCGATATAGGTTGTCACGATATTTC